GTCAGGGAAGCTGAATGCGATGCTAAATGGCCTGGGTTCGAATCCCGGAGAAGCCATGGTTGTAACTGTCCGTCCCTGCATAGGAAAGGCGATGTTGGCCCACCTATTAGGTGCCTCCATAATAAAGAGACCACCACATCCGGCCTTGGATAGATTAATGGACTGGGTTACATTTGTAATTGTTCACAATCAGCCATTTGAAATATATATATATATATATTAGACTGCTTGTTTCTGTGGTTAAATTATTTCCTCAGTTTGCTGCTTACTGAAAAGCTATTAGAAATGTAATTCAAATGTTACATTTACAGCCTGATGAAGATTTTAATATTTTTGAAAAAAGATTTGATATATGCTTTCAACAGCTGAATTATGTTTATTTCAGGAGCGCTTTCCAAAAGCTCCACCGGAAGGTTTTATCAGTTAAAGTACATAGTGGGCAAATTGCGAAACGCGAATATTTTTTTGTGGCCCTCTAAGACAGTCATAAAATCCGCTTTGTTTCGAGATTTCCTTCAAGTGCGCAATCGAAGATTCATATCGCATATCGCTATGTATCTGGTTACGCGGAGTTAGTTATTCCGCGTAACCATGACGAGGAAAGTGCTCTCTGGGTATTTTATGTGCGTTGAGATCGCTGCTTTTTGCATTTTTGTGAGTGATCGTCTTGCTGCGTTTAAGTGCTGGGATATTTTTAAACTACCGTGACTATTATTTCAGCCAAAGATAGTGAAATTCTCCCGTTGGAGAATACTTCGAATAGTGTGTGTGTGAAAGGCGCTAGGAACTATTACGTAGGCCGATGCCTCGTGCTTTTCGCATGAACATGATACATACCTTGTTGTGGAATTTCTTACTAAATTCTATGTCTTTTATATTTTTGAATTCCTGAATAAGATGATCGACGATATACATGTGCATAAATTACTATCTCTATATTTTTCAAAATGTGATACTTCGGATTGTGCACGTGTTGACTGGCTCATCGAAATTTGAAAATAACCTCTCTCCGTACTGAAACATAAGCTTGCGTTCATAAAGATAATATCGGTTCTGTGTTCTGTGGTGGCCTAAATATTGCCAGCATTATTTAAGTCTTTAAAAGTTAAATGCATACTTTGAAAGAGTGCCAAATGAATTAGATAAAATGTTTGTAGTGTATCAGAGACTCGAAGAAAACTACAGGCTATCTAATCAAAACCAACTATGAATTCTGAAAAGTGTGACAGCGGACTCAAATTGGTTTATTCCATAAAATTAATGAATTTCGTATTTTTGTGAATGATTACAATCCCGATGTAATTCTCTTGCAGAAACACAAGCTCAGACTAGGGGCAACTATTACCATCAGTAATTATACCTGTATAGGCTAGTTAGAAGTCGTAACAGCCAATGTAGGGTGACGGCCTAATTATTCTAATTAAGAGCAAAATCACCCATTACCATACGACACTGTCACAGCCACAGTCAAATTTTGTTCTAGCTGCGCTTAGCACGCTGCTTTATATTCTTCTCAAGTGTATTCATCATCAAACAGAAAACATTCACTTACCTCCTTTGGTCTTTTCAAATATATATTTTTCCCGTATCCTCTGTTTCCTGGAATTCCGGAAGTCCGTGTATCAGCTTTATGTGGCAACCATTTACATTATCATTCCTTAGATTTAATTTCGAGTGTAAAACCCAAATCCAAGTGAAGATTAAGCTCGTTATATACACATAAATTGATTTAATACAAGCATAATTACTAGTATAATTATTAGGAATGCACCTTTCTTCTTCATAAAGAAATTAAGTTATATAATAACTGCAGAGATAAGACTCGCGCAGAGCCATTTAACTTCCAGAGGGATCAAATCGTAACATCTACTATAAAAAAACAAAAACGATATAAATCCCCGTAGACCACAGAATTGTTATCTTTCATGGCCGCTTTTCGTCAAAGAGACTACGCAGTTCATTATTGTTGCTTAACAAGTAAATCATAGGTTCGAAAATCTGAGCCGACACTTTTTAAAAACACCAACATTTATTTTCACGACATTTCTAACTCTCCAAAATCTTAAGTGCAACTAACTATCAAACAGAAAAGCAGACGTAGACGTAATGATGCATCATCTGGGCACGTGATCCTCGTGACAGACGAATTCTTTAGGGTTGCCACAGAAAGGCAGTGTGTCGCCACAATTCTCCCACCTTTTGAGTGGATGGCTATACACTCAAAAACATAAAACTTACATCAATATAAATGATGGTTATATAACAAAGAAAATTACTTAATACTTAAATCATATTACTTGAAAACAAAATTAATACTGAGGAATAATACAACAATAATAGCACAAAAATTAATCATAATAACTCAAAGACATAAATTACATTATTCGTGATTTTACAACTCTACCACTACTGGTGGTGAAAGGAACTTGCTCATTTTGAGTATTATCTATTATATTATCCAGTTCCAATCTAAACAATCTCTGTATTGGTCTCAAGAACTCTGAATTATTACTTTTTACAAGAGCAACTCTTATGTTGCCATCTCGACCAGGGATCACTCGAATAACGCGTGCTAAATTCCAATATGCACGGTTTTTATTTTGATCCTCCAGCAAGACAATTTCTCCTACAGAGAGAGGTTTATTTTTGTAATTTCTGGTAGACTGCGGTCTTAACTGCCCTAGATACTCAGAGCGAAATCTCACTCTTAGCAATTCTCTCATTCTCTGGAGATACTTCGCTCTTCTACTCAATTTTTCTTTGTCCACATTGTCAATATCAGGTACACCCGACTGTGGAGTTTCATGCAGAAATTTTTCTGGAGTTAAAGGCAAGGGATCTTCAATATCGTCAGACACGTACGTAAGTGGTCTTGAGTTGACAATTCTTTCACAATCACACAAGACAGTGAGTAACTCTTCATAACCAAGAGAAGCACGACCTAAAATTTTTTCTTAATATTTGTTTTACAATTTGTATTAAACGCTCCCACCATCCACCCCACCAAGCGGCGGATGGAGGATTAAATTTCCATTGTATTCTCTTTTCAGCAGCCTTAGAGCAGAGGCTGTCCCAGTCAATGGTTTGCAGAACTCTCTCTGCATCCACAAAAGTTTTTTCCCATTATCGGAATATATGGTGGTAGGGCGTCCACGACGTGCGATAAAACGCCTTAAAGCTTGAAAAATGATTCAGTTGTTAATGAGGTAACCAGTTCCATATGGATAGCACGATAAACCGCACAGGTGAAGAGCACAATATACGATTTTTGTCCATCCTTTAAATGCAAGGGTTCTGCAAGATCACACCCTACGATTTCAAAATGGCTGAATCACGAACCCTATCATTTGGTAAAACGCCTGGGACTGTCTCACCTCTTTTAGCCTTAAATCTCTGACATGTTACACATTTTCTTATACAGTTCCTTATAGTTTTACGTGATTTTAAGATCCAGTATCTTTCTCTTAAATGCGACATCAATAATGTAGTACCTGCATGCAACAAATCTTTGTGTGCACTTAATATCAATAATTTGACTACTGGATGCTCAGAAGGTAATATGATGGGGAACTTAAAGCTGCTAGAGTCGTCACGATAAGCAACATTAGACTTAGCTCTTATTAGACCCTGGCTATCGACAAATGGTCTGAGTCGTCTTAGCTTATCATCTGTTTCACCATTAAACGACTCTTTTTTGTATTAATAACATTAAAGCTATTTCTCCCCTTTCTATTTCAGATACAGTCAAATCCTTAGAATGGCTGTTATTATTATTCTTACGTACATTATTATAAAATCTGAATATCCATGATAACATTCTTACAATTTTCTTAAATGATGAGAAATACTTATAGTACCATCCAATACAATTATCATTCTTTGCCAACGTAACAATAACTGTCTTACGTATTTCTGAATTAACCAAATCCTCATCTGGTTCATCATTAGATTTAGGCCAATTTGCCTCATCTTCCCGTAACCAATCAGGTCCCTCCCACCATTTTCGTTCTATTAATTGATCTGCATAACAACCTATAGAAAGTAGGTCAGCAGGATTGAGACTACCAGGGACATGTCGCCATACAGTGGGGAAGGTCAACGACCTGATTTCCTGTACACGATTAAAAACGAATGCTCCCCAATGTTGATTTCGCTGTATCCAACTTAAAGCCGTCGAGGAGTCAGTCCAACAATGAATACGAACTTCATGTAGGCCAATATCATTAACAACTGAAGACAATAACCTAGAACCAATATTACAAGCAAGAAGTTCTAATCGAGGAATCGTAATAGGTTTTAAAGGAGCTACTCTCGATCTTGCGTGTATCAAACTAACCTTCACCTTTTTGCCAGTCTGTACTCTTAAAAAGACGCATGCACCATACGCACTTTTACTACTGTCACAAAAGAGATGTATACTCACAGCTTCATTAATAGATTTGAGACCTACCCATCTAGGTATTTGGATACTGGATAGCAAGTTCAACTTTTTAAGCCAAAACTTAAACTTTTTGGTTAATTCATCGGGAAGAACATCGTCCCATTTAAGCCTTAAATTCCAAGTTTCCTGTAAAATTAGTTTTGGAATCAACATTACAGGAGCCGTATACCCTATAACGTCAAACACCTGATGAGCTACTGCTAAAACTAGTCTTTTAGTAATTGGGTCATCCAATTTTATATCTTGACTTATTTTGCAAGATAAGGTATCTGTAACTGTATGCCATACAAGGCCCAAAACAGACACATCTCCTTCCGTGGAGGAATCTTCCTCTGGCACAACACTTCTTATATTGGATTTCCAGAATCTTAAATTAAAGTGACCCGAAGCCATAATTATTTGTGATTCATTTACAAACTTTCTCATTTCTATTTCTGAATCCATACTAGCCACACAGTTATCTACGTAAAAGGATGTTTTCAAAATCTCCGCTGTATGACTTAAGCTTTCGGGAACTACACTCAAATGATATTGTATTGTAGCGGCCAATAAATACGGACTACACGTAATACCAAAAACTACCCTTCCATGTCCGATACAGTTCAACTTGTTCTTGATTATCCCTACTGAACCACATAAATCTCAAAAAGTCTCGATCTTTTTCCCTTATAGATATTTGCAAGAACGCTTTTTCTATATCTGAAGTGACACCAACGTAATTCTTGCGAAACCGATTAAGAATCGAAGGTATAATTTCTATTAAATTTGGTCCAGTAGATAAACAATCGTTCAATGATGGGTAACCAGGCGAATGAGAACTTGCATTAAACACCGGTCTTATACTCGTGCTACTATTTTCTTTAACAACTGCTCTATGAGGTAAATAATGTACACCCTTATATTTATTCTCATCCGGTACTTTTTCAATTATCCCGAGTGCTAACCAGTTCTGGAAAACGTCTCCGTAAGCGTCAAAATTTCCCGTAGTTATTAATTTCCTTTTAATACAAGACATTTTTCTGCTATCACTTTGTTTTCGGGTAAAAGCGAGCTATCCAACACCCAAGGTAATGCTACTTCGTACCTTCCCTCTGAATTTACCGTAAGAGTCTCTTCAAAATATTTTTGCGTATCCTCCTGTAACTCAGTTTTGGTTTTACTTACGGAAGGTTCACCAATACCCAAAACATCTAACTTCCAGAGATCACTTATACATTGACCCTTCACTAACAGAGAAGAAATTAGGAGGGATGCAGTATTTATCGTAGTTGGCTCAGTGCCAGTAAATTTACCCAAAACAGTCCAGCCTAATTGCATATGCACCGCGGTGACGCCGCACGTAAGGGGAACAATTTTTCCAGTTAGCAACTTACCAGCAAAATCCGCACCAATTAGTAATTTTATCTCTTTATCTACCTTATATGTACCATTTTCTAAATCACTTAATTTGATACCATGTGACTTAAGTTCGCGTAACCACGAACCAGATGGGAGTTGCTTAATTTCAGAAGAAATTTTGTTTTGACCAAGTACCTCTAATTTACACTTATATTTACTATATATATTTCTTACTTCAATAACATAGTTTTTATATACATTTTCTGAAGTCTCAACTCCACCAAAAAGAAATTTCTTAATTTTTGATTCACCAATACACTTACAATTTAACCTTTGAGCAACATCATTACATAAATATGATTTCATAGAACCACTATCATAAATTGCTCGTACAAACATTTCTTTAGAACCATTCTGAATTTTACAATTAAAGTTTGAAGATATACATCTGATACTTTAACATAGTTATTAAGAATGCCTGTTTTGTTTTCGTTCATTCCCTAACTTTGTGACACTTTTTTGTTTTGTTAGAAGGCAAATCAGGGCACATAATCACAAAATGTCGATTTTTACATAAGGTACACCTATGTTTAGCTGTTACACTGATTTGCTCTATGGTTTTTCTTAAGACGCACACAAAACAAACATTCTTTTTCTTAATGATATCTTTCTTACATTCTAAACTCATTAAAGATGCATCCTTACAACTTTCAGACAAATGGGATTTTTCACAAAAAATACAAGTATCAGAACTTTTTATACTTTTGAAAATTTTCATTACACTTACTACTATTTGCATTAATTAGTTCACATGCAGTTGGAACAACAGGTTTTGATGTCAAAAAACTTATTTTTCTTATTACTTACTTTATCAGAACCCAAAACATCACGGGTAAGTTTAACTCTAAATTCAGTTTCTTACTTCTCCTTTTTAGAAAATCAATTAATGACTCTAAATCACTCTTACCTGTTGTTTCAGGAGACATACCTCGTTGTCTTTCCCAAATTTGTATTAAATCAGCAGGAAGTGCTGATTCCACTAAAGGAAATAAAACAACTGCAAATTTATCTTTAGTTAAACCGAGTGTTTTCCAATGCGCGTAGTTGAGTTTGCAACTTGTCATAAAGAGTTAATAAGTCTATCTTTTGTTTGTCATTGATTACCAGTTTTTAATAGCTCTCTAACATAAATTTGAATTAAAACATTTTCGTTTCCAAATCGTTCTTTGAGATACTCCACGGCTTTTTCGTAATTTTCTTCCGTAGCAGGAAAACTCTCCACTATTGCTCTAGGCGCAGTCTCAGGTTTCGTAGATTGTAGTAGATAATGAAACTTGTCTCTCTTGTCGATGCGAGTATCTTCATGTATTTTACTAAACCTTGTCCAAAATGTCAACCACTTTCGGGAGTCTCCATCGAACTTCACCAGTTCGATCTCTGGCAATTTCTGTTTTGTGGTTGTAACTATTCCTGATGAAGAACCGCTATTCGTTGACCCAATAGAAGGCTGTGAATACTTATCCTTCTTCCTGTTGGCTTTTACTTTCAACGTAGATAATTTATCGTAATATTCTTGAGCTGCACTAAATTCTCTTTCGTATTCTTCTTCAGTACAGCCTTTTTTCTGTAGAAGTTCCAGAAAAGAGTCATCCGTATTTCGTAAAGTTTTATACTTCTCTGAAAATTTGATCTAAATAAATTTCTAAATCGTCCAAATCCGGAGAATCTGATCGTATCAGTTCATCTAACTTATTAGCTGTTTTCGTAAATACACTCCTAATTGCTTTCCGCTTCTGTTTTAGTGTTTCTAAATCATCCATGTTTGCACCTAGGAACTTCTCTTATTTTCGTAAATTATCAAGTGTCGAAATCGATAATGTCACCCTGTGACATTCATCCTGGCAGGCTCGCCAAATTTGTTGCTTAACAAGTAAATCATAGGTTCGAAAATCTGAGCCGACACTTTTTTAAAAACACCAACATTTATTTTCACGACATTTCTAAACTCTCCAAAATCTTAAGTGCAACTAACTATCAAACAGAAAAGCAGACGTAGACGTAATGATGCATCATCTGGGCACGTGATCCTCGTGACAGACGAATTCTTTAGGGTTGCCACAGAAAGGCAGTGTGTCGCCACAATTATAAAAAAAGGGTTTCTGCTTCTAGAAGGCAAATTTCCTCCTAATAAGAATAATGTTGATTATTTGATTTTAAAATCCAATCCCTTTAATTGTGAAACTTGTATTCTTTATAACCTAGTTAAATGTTATCACAATCGTTCTTCAAAAAAATTTAAGATAAAAGCTAGTTTTAAGAGATTTTTATCATTGGATGTATCATGTAATATTTATTAATAAAGTCCAGCTAAGCAATTCTAAAATTTTCTCATTGACAAACATTCATCTTTAATACTTTTATATTAATCTTTACAAGTCTGCTTTCGTTAGCGTATACCAGTTGAGAAGGATTATCAATTCCAAGTGCGAAAACACGATTTTCGTTTCGTTGTTTTACCTTTGAGAAACTCTCGTATGAATGTTTATGATATCCAGTTTGAGTTCTGGGGTATGGCAACTATCGCATTTAATGTAACATAGGTTCGGCCCACAGCCTCCATGTTAGAAGGTTGCTCAAAATGAGTCCTGGTGCCGAAGGGTTCCCGCCTGGTGGAGATCCAAACAACCGTATGGACGAAAGCAGCGTCACTACGGATATTGATCCCAACAACTCGACTGCTAATGGAGTGATCAAGTACTGCTGATGAAATTGAATATAATACTCATACATTAGACATCGTACAAAATAACTGGATTTGCAACTCGAAAGCGCTAAGATTTAATTCAAGGTTCGTCAAAAGAGACATTCTGTCGCCGATGGAGATAGACAAATGGAGGCTACAATTACGTTTCTCTTGGAAGTACGCCGGGACGTTCACGAACTTAGAGGTACGTGCAATATAACTTGCTCTTCAGGCACTGCTCTACTTAAACGTAAAACCGATGTTCTTAAGACTAAACGTATAGGTGGTACTGCTGAAGATTCTAATATTAATACTAAACAAAACTAAGCTAAACTCAGCGGCGCAGGAGCACTCAAATAGCAAACTGAACATGAGCAACGCCTCTGAAAATCTGCAAACTGTCTTATTAGACTTAATTCAGAGATTTGAAAATATGGATTTGGTCATCTGAGTGACCTTGGCATTAAAAACGTTGTAAAATATTTTATTTTTTAATTATGTTTTATATTTACTCCTGCTTGTATAATAATATTTGAGAAATCAGTGAACTTCCGGAATGAAAAAATATGCGCACATTGACTACGTACATGTTGATTCAAAAAAATTTAATTTAAGGAAAAGTATCAAGTAACAAAATGCAGATAAAAGTTTCCACACTCAATTTTCTGTACCCAGTTGACACAAGTAAATTGTATCAGACTTGTAGAGAATAATATTATAAAAATAACAAAACTGAGATTTGGTCCTGAAATAAATCTCACAAATACTCCGTTTTTGCTTCTTTCTATCGCTGCTGGGATTTATCTCTGACAGCTTTAAAAGAACATCTGTGATAACCTTTTACTAACGTTTAACAAATGCATGCAACTTAGACTATTAAATACTTAGTAACATTTGCTCTTTAGATTTCTTCCTGAAATACATGTCAAATGGAAACATGTTTCAAATCAACGATGCCATGGATTTAGAGCACGAGATTATAATAATTAGGAAAAACGTTATAACGAATTTGTTACATACTAGTTTTTTCGTACACGCTTGCGAGATATAGATATATGAATTTAAAATTTCGAACAAGAACATGTTATATCATTGTGCAAGCATTTTAAATAAAACTGCTCTGCCAATTTTAGGCAGAGTGGTGGCTATGGAACAAATTGTGCACTTTTGATTTTTAGTTCATTGCTTTGGTTCTGTCTTTAAATTTTTCTTCAGTTTGCTGTTCAACGTAAAAGCGGTTAAAAACATACTTCAAATGATTGATTTATAGCGCGGTGAAGATGTTAATATTTCTGGAAAAGAATGATTTCTGCTTTAAGAAGCTGAATTATATTTAATTGAGGATCGCTTTTCGAAAGCTCTGCAGGAAGGTTTTTATCAATTAAAGTATCTAGCGCGAAAATAGCGGTTTGCGAAGAATTTTTTTTAGTGGCCTGCTAAGCAGAAAAACCGCTTTGATTCGAGATTTCCTTCACGGCGTATTTGGTTACTTACTTTGCGTAACCATGACGAGGAGAATGCAATTTGGGTATTTTATGTGTGTTGCTATTCCCTCTTTTTTGTAATTTTGTGAGTGACCTTTCTGCTGTGTAAGTGCTGCGATATTTCTGGATTACCATGAATATTATTTCTGCTAAAGATAGGGAGTCTAATCTTTGGAATATGGTAACAGGTATTTTGGCGACATTTTGGTAAGGCGATAAAGGTTACTAGTAGGACTTTAGCAGTGTACATGGATAAAGTCAATAATCTGCGCAATGCCATTTTTGTGCAATTCTGGGATGTTTTTTTCAAGTGAAAATAGGTCGACGTGTATATGGATGATACCGTGTATGTGCAATTCTTAAAAACGCTGCAAGCAGTGGGCGATTCTGCACTTTCGCCCAATTTCGCACCTAATCTTCGTCATGATTAAGCACTTTTGTTCCATAAAAGTTCTTGCATAAGCGTAATTCGGCTAGCAGATTGTTGGAAAAAAATGCTGAGTTAAAAACAAAATGCCTTTACTTCGTGAAAACAAAATGGCGTCCAAAACAAAACTAGCAGGTTGCTGTAGCAGGGTTGGTCGCCAAATTTTCGCCAAAAAATCGCCAAGTTACCATAATCCAAAGATTAACCGATAGTGAATTTGCCCCGTCGGCAAACACTTCGAATCGTTAAGTGTGAAAGTGGCGCTAGACTACTTTGTAGGCCGATACCTCGTGCTCTTCGCATGTACATGATATGTGAGTTGATGTGGGATCATCTATTAATTTTTATGTGTGTGAATACTCCAGATATTTTGAAATTCCTGAACAATAAGATGTTCGAAGACAATAATTTGTGTAATTTAATATCTATGGATTTTTTAAAATATGATACTTGATCTTTGCAGGTGTTGACTCTCTCATCGAAAATTTGAAAATTATCTGTTTCTTTTTGAAACACAAGTATAATGGTAGTGAGTGTATTTCTCATGATGGTAAGTTAGATTTTAAGAAGCCGGTTAAAACAGTCAAAGGCACGAAATTATTTAAACACAAGAAGCAATTAACGTTACATATACGTTTTGCTATTCTTTATGCGCATGATACTCCGATCAATATTCATAACAATTGTAATGTTGGTGCTGATAATAATGCTGTATTCAATAATGCCAATGACAAGCTTAATCCTAGTAAAAATGGTGTTGATAATTATAAATGTAAATGTTGCTAGTAGTAATAAACCCAGGAGGCACAGGCGCGCAGCAGCTGCCGGATCAGTCTAGGACATCCCTATCATGGCTCAGTCCTCATAGGGTGTTAATTATTATTCCTTTCGCAAAGACTTATCTAGGCAAAGACTTTTTTCTATGAGCCCACCAGCGGCCGAGCGGTAAAGACGCTAAACGCTGGTAGTGCGGTCCGAGGTAGGTTCGAATCCCGCGAACGGGCTGGCTGCATGGGCGTTTTGGTGGTTTTTCCCCATGTGTAACGTGTATACGAGCCAGTTCCCTTAGAAAGTCCTCCACGTAGGCATCCCTCCCTTTAGGCAGGTAGCCCTCGTGTGCTTTGCCATAATTGAATAATCCAATCCATCCTTTCTCTTTTTATGATTAAATTCTCCACAATAGTGTTTTTTGTTTTGTTTTGTTTTCATTTTGCTCTTTGTGCATTTGTTTCGCATTTAGTACTTATATGCCCAAAAGTGACGTTTATCCCGAATTGGATATCTGTCTCGAATCGGCATTTTGCGTCGAAACACTAACATGCTGTATTCAATTTGTTGCCACCAAATATTATCGCTCTGTATAATATTTACAGAAGTTAAATAATGAAGAATCTGCACGAATTTACGTATGTTTCTCGCACTGTGAGAAAACAATAGCACCTAATCCCATACAGTTTTGTATAGTGTATTTCGCCATCCGTACATGGCCGCCAGAAGGCCCTAATCTGGAATTTATTTTATTGCCTATTTCATATTTTGTAAAACTTTAACGAATTTTAATTAATAATTTCAACGACATCAAAGTGAGCAGTGGCAACGCTGTTTTTCGATTTCGATTTTTATGGCTTACTTTAGGTAAGCAATATTGAAAATGCATTTACTTATGCGTTGGGGTAAAAATTCCGAGCAACAAACACTGGGGTAAAATTTGTCCCGCGCGTGTACTAACGTAGCACACTGATGCACGTGTGCTGAAGGGCTAATAATAAAATCAAAATAAGTTTTGTAAGTGCACCTTAGTAAGAAATCTGAACATTGAAGTAATGAACTGAGAAAAGACTGGAAAAAAAAAAAAAAATGTATGCCAACGCGTTATAAACAGGAGTTCGTTCAAGCGTTATAAACAGGAGTTCGAAGCGTATACTGCTTTTATAATTTTTGTAATTTTGCTGTTGAATTATACGTCACGT